TTGTTTACTGCAAGTACCAATAATTCTTCTGAGTAATAAAACATATTGAGTCCAACAATGTGTGCCTTTTACCCACTTAAAAATTTTTGATAAGAGGCCTTATCTTGATTTTTTTTAATCTACTTAAAACCTAAGAAGTTTCATAAGGGAATAGATAAAGTATTAAAGGCTATCCCCAAGAAGTATATAGCATGGCACTGAGAATACGAGCTGTTTCCTGCCAGGGATGACAAGACAACTGGGCTATAGATAGATCTGCTGCTGGCAAAAATGTTCTGTTCATCAGATTATTGCTATTTAAGGCATTTTCCCATTGGGATTTGTACTGCAGAAAGTGAACGTATTCAAACTAGAGTATAAATCCTCAGTGATTATATTGAAGAATTTGGAGGAATCTCCTTTTATAAAGTTGAAGAGAATATCCTGAGATGACAACGTATTTTTAGGAAGACCTTATGGCTACTATAGTAGAAAGATGGAAAGAGAGTTTCACATCTGTTGATAATATTTATCAACTTCAGTACCTAAAGCCATGTTATTAATTTCTGAGAGGATTTTAAATAGCAAAAACAAATTCAGGAATCATATACTCATTACATAATATACTAATTGAGACTTTTACAAACTTGGGTTCACTTAGTAAAAGCACTTTCATTATATTGGGTATATATCTGTGTTCATCCATGCATTTATCAAGCATCAGCTGCATTTAAGATGATGAGATATAATGGGAAGTTCACAAGCGCTGTGTAATGGATGAATGACTTTGAATAAGTTTCTTGTGCATTTAGAGCTTAGTTCTCTTATTTAAAAGAAAAAAAGTACAGGATGATTGATGGAAAGGATTAAATGATACATGTAAGAGTACTCAGAACAGCTTTTAAATTAGAGTAAACCTTCAGTTGGTATCAGTCCCCCCTCTTTTCAGTTGCTGAGATTCCATCAATATGTACCAAATTTTATTAGCAAATACCAAAGATGATTTGTACTTCTTTTCTGTGCATGTGGCCCTTCTTTGGTGGTCCTTCTTGTCTTCACACTGTCCCTCTGGTTTTCAAAACGATCAAGTGTAGGCTATTGTGTGGTGATTTATACAACCAAGTGGAGTGCCTTTCTCAAAATTTGTATGGGAAAGTTAGGTATATGCCTGCTTATCTAACAGAAGAGATTCCCAAGACGTGAGTTCTCAAGACATTTCCAAAGACTGTTCCATTCTATTTAACTTAGCATGTCCACTGCTTCCTTACAGCCTCCCCCAGCTAGCAGTGCATATTCTGTTAAGCACATTAAAATATTATTGCTAAAACACCAGCTTTTCTAATGTGTTTAGTGAAGTGTACTGTTGTCCCCCTGCCACCATTACGGTTATGATGATGAGTTGGTAGGTTTCTAGTTTTATACATTGTCTTTTCATTTATTTGGGTTTTTCTTCTTAATTTATCTCGTGACCTGCTTGCTTGGTCATTTCAATATTTTCCCTCAGGGTAGCAAGAGGTCTGGCATACAACACATCATTTCACCTTGTGCATCTAGTCACTGTTCAATTTGATTTCCTATTAAAATTTTACATGTGATGACTGACCAGATTGCTATGATTTATCCCTTCCGCGGGCTGCTCTTCATCTTATGGCAGGATCCGTTCTTTTTTTTTTCTTTTAGTTGGAGCCTCCTCCTCTGTGCCTCCAGCACACTCAGTTTGTGTTGCTGTTACAGTGCAGACTTCTCGAAGTGGTAGCCATCTGCTTGTGTGTCTCTCATACCCCGTGAGCTGTGAGCTTCTGGAGTCCAGGGACTCCATCTAATACCTTATTTATCTTTGCATCCCTCGTGCAGACAGCACCTAGCATGGCACACGGCTGGCACTTAATAAATCCCGAGTGAATTTATTCTATGGAGATTTGTTCTGACTTATCTTTGTGCATTGCTCAAAGAGCTAAAAGTTGTTTGGGGGGCTAGCACCATGTTTGGGGCTGTATTTGTCATGGCTGGGCCTCGTTTGGCATGTACACAATTGTAATTGGAGTGTGTAGTTGCCTCCTTCCCTGACACCAATTTTCTTAATCTCCTTTAATATGATACCCTCTTTGAATAGCTTCTGCATTAGCATGAGGATTATGTATTTTCACTCATTAGTAAAGGTATTAAAAGAAGAGCCCTTTGGGACTGCCTGATTTACCCACTTCTACCCTTAGTGTTTGGAAAATCCCATGGCATTCTTTCCTCTCTGTTATTTTTGTATCTGCTTCATCCAGATGCTTCTAAATTCAGCTCAGTAATCGCAGTACTGGTATAGGAGTGTCAACTGTGTGTCCAGGTTAGGAAGATGGCCAGGGCACGCCGCCTGTGAGAGGCAGGATGATACATATGTGGTAGACATATGCAGAGGCTGCCCCTGGAGCACCGCGGGGAGCACCTCACGCACACCTGTGGAGGGAGGGAAGGCCTGGGGAGGTGGTCGCGGTGGGCTCCAGAGAAGAGTGGTTCTTGAGGTGAGACCTAAGAAATAACCTGAAGAATCACAAATAACGGGGGGAGGAGGCTTTTTTATCAGAAAAGAGGCAAGAATAAAGGTAAAGGCTTGAAGAGCACTGTGCTCGGAGCGTGGGGGTGGGTGAGATTGCGTGAAGTCAGGGAGCGGAGGGCGATGAAGCCTGAGCCCGGAAGACTGTGGTATTATATGCCCAGACTTGATCCTGTCAGTTGGAGGAAGCAGCTTCTATGTCAACATTTGGTCCACTTGTGTTGATTTCTGGCCAAGATTCCTATAGTGAGGTAGGTGGTCAAGACCATGGACTTTAGAATCGAACTGCCTGGGTTCAAGTCCTGGCTCTGCCACTTAATTGCTGTACAACGTGGAGAAATTTTGTGCTTCGTTTCCTCATCGTGAATACAGAGATTATAGTAGTACCTCTTTCATTAAAATCGTTACAGAGATTAAGTGGGGCTGCATTCGCGATGCATCCACAGAATGGCAGTTGGCACTTGCTGGCCCTGAAACTAAAACTCATAAGTCTCTGGTAGGCCCCAAAGGTCAGTTAGCTCCTTGCAGAAGGCTAGACTTTCTTTTTAAAGTCAGTTTGTTTTTTGAAATCGAGTTTGTTGTGTGGTCTGCTTTTGCCTTTTGTTTTTAAGCTTTTGAAAACACAAAGTAGCTTTATTGGCTCACTTTCTCCCGTCTAAACTGGAGGAATATGGATTTTCTTAGAAACTGTAAGCTTTAGGCTTCAGGATGGAGGGGGTATTAGGAGTAAAGAATGAAGCTGGATGGTGGTGATGGTGTTGTCTTTCCATCTGCCACACAGGAAGGATCGAGAGGAGGAGTCTAGAGAGATGTTTGCTTCCTGAGGTTCTTGAGCCACTAATTTAATCTAGGCTAACAGAGAACAGACTTTTCCTTTCTGATGCTTAGATTCTGGAAATAATGACCCCAGGCTTTCACTGCTCCATAGCATAGCATCACATACAAAGATTTTGAAATGAATTTATCTTACTGTGATTTCAAGGTATCCACCCTGTAAAAAGTTTACCTGGCTTGTATAGCCCCCCGTTCATCGGAAGATATTCCAGAAATGCTAGCTTCAGTGCCCTCAAGGAGTTGCCAATCTCTTCCATTTAAATATTCTGGAATCCTTATATCATCAATCTTTGACAACTGACTCATTTCAAATTTCCCTGAAACTGCTTTTTGTCACTAGCTAATTATATAGACTAGAATACCGATGGCAGTTAAAACATTTGTTTTTATTTTTGTTTTAAAAGATTGATTTCTAGGAGTGCCTGGGTGGCTCAATCCATTAAATGTCTCTCTTCAGCTCAGGTCATGATCTCAGGGTCCTGGGATCAAGACCCACATCAGCTCCCTGCTCAGGGGCGAGTCTGCTTCTCCTTCTTCCTCTCCCTCTGTGGTATCTCTCACTCTCATTCTCTTGCAAACAAATAAATAAAATCTTTAAAAAAAACCTAAAAGATTAATTTCTAAAAATTAGACATTATTAGGATTATTTTGCGAAGTAAATTGTTTTAAAAAAGTTCCTTTTTCGGGACACCTGGGTGGCTCAGTCAGTTGTGTCCGACTCTTGATTTCAGCTCAGGTCTCCATCTCAGGGTCGTGAGTTCAAGCCCCACATTGGGATCCGCACTGGGCATGGGCCTACTCTAAAATAAAATAAAATAAAATGTTTCCTTTTTCATAAACAGAATATTGGAAACCCTTGCAAATCACATTGTTATGATCAAAATAGAAATATTTGATATGATCCAATATGAAAATAAACACATAAGGCCATCAGTCACTTCCTAAAATTATTTCTTATGAAAGTATTGCTCTTAAATTCTTGGTTTCTCTATTTTCTGTTTCCTTTCGGGTGGGTCTGCTTTGTAATCAGTGAAGGTGCGTGTCTGTCTTTAGGCAATAGCTAATCTCTTTGGCCATATGTGCAAAAGCAGTATAATTACAACGTAGTATTAATTGGGCCATGGGATTGTTTTGTTTTAATTATTGAAATCATCTTATCTTTCCATTCCTTAAAGCATGTTAATGGGTGAATCACTGGATAACATGTTTATGTCATTTCTATGGAATTAAATATGTGCACATTTACATAAACTTGGTAAAAAAAATTCTGCTTCCTTTGATAATGTTACAGATAGATTTTTTTCCTGCGTCTCAAGCATCACTAGAAGCCTGAGGAAATCAGATATTATAAAGAATTGATTCTTTACATTCTGCCTAATTTATAGAGTGCAGATTGGATTATAGATTTCTGGCTAAGGAGGGTATCATTCTGGGTTGACATAATAAGTTGGTAGAAAATTTTAGATTTACTTGTTAATGAACCAGGGATTTCCATACCCTTAATGCACATTCTCTTTAAATGATTTGGGTAGGAAATTTAGTGATGGGTACCCATTTTTACCAAATACAAGTGCTTGGCGACTGTATGTAGAAACTGGCATTTATCTGTGTTCAGATTTTAACTTTTGTCTCCCTATTTTTTCAGTTGTTTTTATTTCAGTTGCTGCGAGGGCTGTCTTACATCCACCAGCGTTATATTTTGCACAGAGACCTGAAACCACAGAACCTTCTGATCAGTGACACGGGGGAGTTAAAGCTGGCAGATTTCGGTAGGAAAGCAGTTAATTACCAGTCTATTTTGTCACACTGTGAGAATGCCAGGCAGATGGTGACACTGCATTTGTTTAGGTTTGCTTCTTCTATCATTGTCGATCATGGGTAACATTTTTTTGAGGCTTGAAGGAAATTTTTTTTTTTTAATGATCAACATCATGCTTTGTGGATTTATTAAAAATTCACACTGCTTGTTAGAGTCTTGAATAATCATAAGCACAAATCAGATGTCATGTATTTCTAAAGGAAAAGTCCAATTTTGAGCATGAAATATATTGAAAGAAATCTAAATTTTTTCACCTTTTACTAATAATGCAAAATGTCAAACCTATTCCAAAGTGGAAGGATAGGTGTAAGGAACCCTCATTACCCATCACCCAGCTTCCACAATTATCAGTCTGTTGTCAGACTTGAAGAAACCTGAATTTAAGCCTCTGGACTTTTGGGGGCATCACAAAATATATTCAATAGTACATATTGCCCTGTGGTTTTAATACCTTAGAAATCTAGGGCCAGGGTTAAGTTTTCCAGAAATGACTGTTTCAAGACTTCTCAATAACTATACAAAAGTAGACACTGATTCCAATTTAAAAGTTGTGGTTTTCAGTCATTGTAAGTCATCCCTTCCTTAAAGTTTTGAGGTTGGCCTCTTCCAGCTTAGAAGCTTTCCTCCAGACTCTATGTTGAGTCCACAAAGGGGAGCAGAATTGTATCTTCACTGCTAGCTCTCCTCCCCTCATCAACTGTGACATTCCTGCTTCACCCTGGCTCTGTCACAGCAGAGAGGGTGCTGAGTCGATTCCCAGCACCAGGGGATGCTGATGGCAGCATGATATGTTGACATTGCATTGCCTCAATTATTTTTGAATACATATTCTGATTAGAAATTTGTTCCATTAAGAGTGGAATAGAAATATTACCCTTGGGACATAAACATGCCTGAGGTTGAGATACAGGCTTTTGATGAAATATGATTATCTTTTCCCTCCCCACCTTCCGATAAATAAAAGAGCAAGAAATGTCTGTTTCCTATTCCAAGGTTAGGAGACTGTTCAGTACCTTTGGAATGAATCTACTCTGTTGGGTTTTAAATATTCTTTCCTTCTAAAATTGAAATAAAACAAAAGTTAGCATAACGAGTGATATATTGTGAAAGTGTCATTTGTTCTCATCTTGTTGGTAGAAATGATGAAACTCTGTGTGTGTGTGGTTTATTGCCAGATTTTAGCATCAAAATAATACAAGGTGGCCAGACATAAAGTCTTTCTATTACAGAGTAGAAAATAATGGGAGAGTAGGTGGGTGGAGGAGAGATTTGTGGTTCCTCAAATATAGGGTTATTGGATTTGCTGTGAACATTATTTTGTGGTTTGTCAGTATCAGTAAATTAATAAGGCTTCATAGTGATTTTCTTCTGGTGTTTTAATATACTGTGAGGTATATGTTGGAGTAAGTAATTGCATTGAACATTTAATTCTATTGAACGTGGTTTTCTTGTGTATTTGTAAAATAACATTTGTAAAAAAAACATTTTACAAAGTTGATTTTGTTTATATGATCAAGGGTATAATGGGATTATATGTAAGTGCTTACTGGGGATTATTTGTTAATTTTATGGCAATGTTTTTATTATAATTGTCAGGTAAGTTCATCTTAAAAGATTCTTTTGAATCTTTAAAACTGACATTTTATAATATCAGATTCAGAAATAAATTGAAATGCAGTTTTAAACAACTTAGGAAGTGTTTTAGAAAATTAGAAAATTGAGAGATACTCAGAGCCAACATTTACATTTTCCTTGTTTCTTTTCCTAGTACCTTTCCTCTCCTCCTCCAGGCTCTTCTTTTTCAAAACATTTTCTTTTGTAAAGTTTTCACCCACGAATATGCCATGCACATTTTCTCGTGTTGTTAAATGTGAAAAAAATCATTTCTAACAGCTTAGATGTTTCCTTTCATAGCCCAAACCTCGTCTCTTTATTCAGTTCCTTACCAATGACCATTTAAGTGCTTGCTGCATTTCCCTCTCGGGGGCAGTCCTGCGCTGAAAGGCCTTGTCGGGGAGGCTGTGTGTGCACTTGCAGAGTCCGTATTCTAAAGCCTCTGATTCCTTGCACCAGCCCGTTCTGCAGAAAGGTTGTGCCACACACCGCCCCCCCCAGCATCACGGATTGAGTCTCCTTGCCTGGAACACACCCTTGGCATGCGTCCTGTGCACAAAGTATAATACGCGAGACTCATCCACCAACTGACAGTTTCCCCCCAGTTAATTGTGCATTATTTTTGTCTTTTAATTTAAGACATGCAATTAACTGTGATTTACTGCACTTGGGCACGTGTTTATGTCTGAGCTGAAGGAAGCACAGTAGAAGCTGTGGAGAAGCTAGACAGTCAAAATGGGATGGTTCCAGGCAGCAGAACAATTAGAAACACCAGGTCTTAATTCAGACTTTGATGTATAAAGAGCTTTAGACGCAGTTCTTTTGTCCTTTTTTTTTTTCTTGTGTGAAAATTGATTAAAAGAGACAAATGAAATCTGTCTGAGTACAGGTCCCATGTTGTAAGTGTTACTATTTTTATTAGAAAAACTACTTGGGGAGTGAGGGGGAAACACTGAAATTTATTGAATTTATTCTGAGTGCCAGACACTTAGAAATTCTTGTTTCACTGTGTCTTCAATCTAGTAAGGTATATTAACCCATGTTTTTGAAAGAGACCTGAGTTCAGAGAGGCTTGACCACACAGGTAACTGGTTGCAAAGCTGGAATTCTTCAGTAGCTCTTGCAGTGCACTGAAATGATTGTGTTCATTGGTTTATCTGTTACTTTTTTTTTTTTTAAAGATTTTATTTATTTATTTGAGAGAGAGAGAGAATGAGAGACAGAGACATGAGAGGGAGGAGGGTCAGAGGGAGAAGCAGACTCCCTGCCGAGCAGGGAGCCCGATGTGGGACTCGATCCCGGGACTCCAGGATCATGACCTGAGCCGAAGGCAGTCGCTTAACCAACTGAGCCACCCAGGCGCCCCTATCTGTTACTTTTTTATTCCAGTACTTGATTGTAAGTTCTGTGAGGGCAGGGACTCGGCTTGTCTTTCTTACTCTTGTCTGTGCTATGTCTAGAACCATGCTTAGCACATAGTAGGCATTCAGGAGATATTGGTTGAATGAATTAAAAATATGTATGACTAAATTGAGTATTATTTAAAGACTAAGACCCACTGAGGCTCTTGGATGGCTCACTGGGTTAAGTGTCTGCCATCGGCTCAGGTTATGATCCCAGGGTCCTGGGATCTAGCCTTGCATTAGGCTCCCTGCTCAGTGGGGAGTCTGCTTCTCCCTCTCCCTCTGCTGCTCTCCCTGCTCATGCTCATGCTCTCTCTCTCTCTCTCTCTCACATAAATAAATAAAATCTTTAAAAAAAAAAAAAAAGACTAAGACCCACCTAAATTTACTAATTTCTGCTTCTTTGCTTTGGTAAACCAGCAGTTAACAAACTAATTTTCTCTTCATCAGTGCTATCTTGGCTGGGTACAGTCAAAAGTTAAAAACTTGTTAGTGTTGGAGCCTCAGGATTGCTTTGAAGCTTAGGCCCTACATACCTGTTTGCTATTTACTATGTATGTAACCTTGGACTGCAGAAATACAGGTCACTGAGTGAATGTAAACGTGCGCAGAAGGTGTCTATGATTTGCAGTTCCTACTGTGCCGGCCTTAAATGATCATCTCATTATATTGTTGTTTTGGGCAAAATGTGTTGAACATTGAATTAGGAGAGCTGGCTCTGTCTATATCTAGCCTGTGACTTTCACGAAGTCATTTATCGTTTCTGATCCTTAGGCCCCTCCACTGAAAAATAGGGGCATTGGACTGGTACTTTCCAAGATCCTTTTAAGTGCTGTTTTGTTTTGTTTTTATGTTGTACATTTCTGAAATTATTAATTTATTTTCTAATAACCAGATATTTGCTGATGATTAAAAATCGGTCCATTGAATCTGAAATCAGTACTATACCATCCCTCCCTTGAATCTAATTTTTTTATTCTATCTTCTGGAAATTCAAACAGATGAGAGCCACAGTTTTATAATATGCACTGAGATCACATTAAAAGAAAATTATTGAAGTATGACAAGTAAATGCATAAATAAATTCACCAAAAATTAATGTTCATTTGCAGTATAGTAGTATGAAACTTAAGGATATATTTCCATGTAAATGAGATTAAAACAAAATAGATGAGTCTATAGACTTTCCTGCAATCCCCGTAAGACAAGGATGGTGTCATCCACATTTCCCTGCTATTCTCCCACTGTTTTAAAGGGTCATGCCTAAGTCTATGGAAAGACAGCTGGGCCGAATTTGGCCCTGAAGAAGTGAGACAGTGAGAACTCCGTAATGTAAGCACATAAGCTTTTGGCTTATGTGTATTTTATATATATATATGTATATATATATACATATATATATATAATTATTATTATTATTATTATTTTTTTACTGACTTTCCTAATGCAGGAACCTTGTTAAACATCTCTGTGGTTTTAATCAAGGAAAATTGGGTGGGTCTCTTTCCCACCAGAGGTCTAAAATATTACCTTCCTAATGTTGGCAGTTTCCTCCTCCAGGCTGTTCCCTGTTCCTCATCTTGATTTAAGAAAGGAAATTATTGTAAATCACATTTTAGATTAATTTGCGGAACACACCAGAGAAGGAACTCTACCGAGGCCATGGCGAGCCCGGGGTTTGTTGGTAATGTGCCTCTCCAAATTCGCGTGGGGAATAGTGGAAAACAGAAGGAAATCAGCTGCTTTCAGATGCAGAGTAGAGTCTGTCTGTTTGATAAATAGAAAGTGTCTGAATAAATGCCTGTTAGTCCCCAAAGTATAGACCTTTAACTATTTTTTTATCATTAGCATATAAAATTCACCATGGAAGCCATAGTTACAAATTCAAGGTTAGATATAACTTAGTCCATTTGTTTGGTGTGTAGGATTCATT